GCTCTTGTTGCCTGGGCAAGAGTGCTATGGCATCAGCCTAGCTCACAGCAACCTCAACCTCCTGGGCTTAAGTGATCCTCCTTCCTCAGCCTCCCAAGTAGCTGGGACTACAGGCATGCGCCACCATGCCGGCATAATTTTATATATATATATATATATATTTTAGTTGGCCAATTAATTTCTTTCTATTTTTAGTAGAGATGGGGATCTCGCTCTTGCTCAGGCTGGTTTCCAACTCCTGACCTTGAGCGATCCTCCCTCCTCAGCCTCCCAGAGTGCTAGCATGACAGGAGTGAGCCACCACGCCCAGCCAAAGCCTGAAATCTTTTTTTTTTCCTATTATTTTATTTAAAAAAATTTTTTTTAACTTTACACTACACAATATGAGAACAAAAAGCCCAGGAGTTTGAGGTTGCTGTGAGTGAGGCTGAGGCCATGGCACTCACTCTAGCCTGGGCGACAGAGCGAGACTCTGTCTCAAAAAAAAAAAAGAAAGAAAGAAACTAGGCCAGTCCCTGAAGTCAATGACCACAGGCTAAGCTCCCAGTGTGGGGTTCGTGAAAATGTGAGCTGCTTTCTAAGGCCGGAGGTCCCCAGGCTGGAGGCCCCAGGACGGAGGTCCCCAGGCTGGAGGCCACGCGGCCTGTCTACCAGTGTGGTTCGGTTCCCGTCCCCAGGAGACTGCACTTTTGCTATAGGCCACGAGATGGCGCTCCATGGTGAGCTTTGGAGTCAGCGCTATCTCTTTAACTGGCTTCCTGTTCACAAAGTTTGAGGACCCCTGAACCACACCCTCATCAACACCCTCAGACCCCCAGTCATACGCAATCTATGCCCATGCTCGGGGAGATACACCCATCCAGAGAAACACAGATGGCAAAACTCAGGGCCTGACGCACACCAGAAGCACTTTCCTCCAAGCCGTGAGACACTTCAAGAACATGAGATTCCCCCAGGCTGACAGCAAGTGCTTGATCCAGCCATGCCTGCAGCTGACCCCACCTGTATATATTTCTATATGTTTTTAGTTGTCCAATTAATTTCTTTCTATTTTTAGTAGAGATGGGAGGGGGGGTCTCACTCTTGTTCAGGCTGGTCTCGAACTCCTGACCTGGAACGATCCACCTGCCTCGGCCTCCCAGAGTGCCGGGCGTGGTCGCGCATGCCTGTAGTCCCAGCTACTCGGGAGGCTGAGGCAGGAGGACCGTTTGAGCTCAGGAGTTGGAGGTTGCTGTGAGCTAGGCTGATGCCATAGCACTCACTCTAGCCTGGGCGACAAAGTGAGACTCTGTCTCAAAAAAATAAAATAAAATAAATAAAATAAAATAAAATAAAATAAAATAAAATAAAATAAAATAAATCATCCTACCCATCCTAGTGGGTAGTGCCCAGGAGCAGAGATGGGTCTGTAAAGAAGCTGATTACAGGGGTGGGGGTGGGGGTGGGGGTGGAGCGGCCCTCGGGGACCACTTAAGGTGGCACGGACTTGGGGGAAGGAGCCACCAGGGTGAAGCCAGAAGCTCAGCCCAGACTCGGTTGGTGCAGAAGGCGGTGGCTTACATGAGCCAAAAACCCATCTGAGTCGGATCTATGCCCCAGCCCGGACATGGTGTACGGGTTCGTTTCCCCCCCGCAGGGCTGTGACCCCGCGGGCTCGGGGAGCCCTTGCCTGCCAACAGGAGCCGCCCGTCACCCCTTCCGGAGCCAGCGGCCCCTAAAGCCGGACCCCAGGTGAGGAGGTGGCACAGGCCCTGGCGGGGGCAGTGGTGGGGCCCAGGGGCTCCTTCTGTATCCTCTGGGTGGATCTGGGCTCCTGGCACTGCCTGTGCCCGGAGTCACCCTCTACAACCTCAGTACTTCGGCGGGGCGCGGCGGCTCCACACCTGTCATCCCAGCACTCTGGGAGGCCGAGGCGGGAGGATCGCTCGATGGTTCAGAGAGTTGGAAACCAGCCTGAGCAAAGATGCGAGACCCCGTCTTCTACTGTAATAGAAAGAAATTAATTGCTCAACTAAAAAAATGTGACATAGGAAATATAATTTAGCTCGGGCACTGGGTGGCGCATGCATGTAGTCCCAAGCTACTTCGGGGAGGCTGAGTTTTCAGGAGGATCGCTTTGAGCCTCAGGAGTTGGATGGTTGCTGTTGAACTGGGCTGACGCCACGGCACTCTAGCTTCGTTCGGCTGACATGGCCGGGTTGCCCTCTCTCTGGGGGTCCCCCCTCCCCAGCCTAAGGCACCACCCATCTACTTCTCGCAAAACCACCTCGCCAGTCAAGACGCCGGCCCCCCCTGTACCTGGCCGGCCGACGGGCGGAGGCCGGACCTTGCGGGTGGCCTGGCCGGGGCCTCGAGGGGGATGAGCTCCTCGGTGAGGTGGGGGGCGGACGGCGTGGCGGCTGGGGTGGGGCGGGCAGGGGGGCCCTGGCGCGGGCCCCGCAGGTGACCCTTCGCCCTCTGTGCCCGCAGAGAACCTCTACGGCAGCCTGCAGAGCCCGTTGCTCGGCCGCGGCCCCGGGAAACGCCGCTGGGGAGCTTCCCCTTCCTCCCCGCGGGCGCCCAGGTACACTCCCCAGCCCGCACCCCGGGGACCG